AAAAATGAGGAGCTGATACCAAGGGCTGAAGTATTAAGCAAATGCTTTGAGAGTGATGAGGGCCACAAATGTACAAATGTGCTGGACACAATGAATGTATGTATGGATTGTGATAAGAGTTGTACGAGCTCCCCAGTAAAATTATTAAAAAAGAAAAATAGAAAGGACATACTTTGGAGAGGAGGACAAGAAAATACAGTCTTGGTGGGGAAGTACTGAAACGAACAGACTGCAAAGGTCTAACGAAGCATGGGCTTCAGAGCAGGCCACATCCTGATTTTGTTGTCATTGTTTGCTTGGGTGGCCTGGGGCTAGTCACTTAGAGTTTGTTTGCTTGTGGTTTTTCATTATAGAATGGACAAATAATACCTACCCAACTGAGATGTTGTGAGGATTAAATGAGATAATGTATGTAAACAGTCTAAAGATCAGCCGATGTTGTCTACTTTAAAGGTTCTGGTGTGGGCATTTCCATTACAGTTTACAAAGCATTTGAGAATTCTCAGAGGGCTTAATTTAACCTAAAAGGCACATTTAAGAAAATGAGGTCTTCATTTACTGATTGCCAGGAATAATACCTCTGTAGCAAGTAGGAACGGACATTTAGGGCTTTGGACTCAATTCCACTTACTCCCCGAAACAAGTGAAGAGCTGGCCATTTAAAATACGAAGGGGTTTCAAAGTGTGGATGGGAAAATGACTTTAAAAGATAATCTAATTTTTCCTTGAACTTTTTAAGCCCTCTCATATTAATACCTAGGTTCCCATTCCCCAAAAGTGGTCTGCCTAGAAATCCATATTTTCTTACAATTTCCCCAGGAGAGTCTACCATGCCATCAGGATTGATAACCAGTGCTCTACTTTCTTATTAATACTTTGCCTGGACATCTCTGATTCTTGGTGAATATGTCATGAAATTTATCAGTCCTGTGGGTACTGCCACTTCTCAACAGCTTCTCTCCTTGGCATAGCATTGCTTCACTGTACACAGTGGCCTGTACCACTGCTATTAAAAGCCTGAGAATTCCTTCCAATACATCAATCAGAAAATCACATTTATAAATCACTAACTTTTGCAACTCTTTGTGTATTAAGATTTCCAGCATTGGAGCAGTGACAAGGAGAAATATACACAGAGGCATACCCTCACGCAAACATTCATGGGATACTTGAAGATCATTGGAAGGGGGCATTCTAACAATAAAATATTGGGGTACGGAATGATTAGAAATTGAGTATTCAGTTTAACAAAAGCACTTCAGTTTCTAGATCAGGGTTTGGCAAATTTGGTTTTGGAAAGGTCTAGATCATAAATATGTTAGGCTTTGTGGGACTTAGATAGGGTCTCCATTGTAGGTACTTACCTGCTGTTTAATCTGGGAATGAAAGTAGCCATAGGCAATCCCCAAACCAATAAGCATGGCATTTTCCAATGTACTTTTAGCTACCAAAACAGGAGGTAGGCTGAAACTGGGCCATGGGTCATAGTTTGTTAACCCCAGGTTTGGAGGCTGGAAAGGTTGACACTTGGGGGATGTTTATGATCCTTGCATAATTTCCATAGAAACGGGGTCAATGATGCAAGGGGGAGTAACAGGGAGAGTAGGAACGTGTTCATTTATAGAGAAAAGCACACTTAACTCACTACTGGTCTTGGGAAATATCTGTGAACAAGGTGATGCTAGAATGTAGGAGACCCCTTTGGAAGTTGAATGACCCTTTCACAGGGGTCGCCTAGGACTATCGGAAAACACATAAATATTTCACAATATATAGTTACATATTGTTATTGTGATTAATCACTATGCTTTAATAATGTTTAATTATGTTCAATTTGTAACAAGGAAAATAATCCTGCATATCAGATATTTACATAGTGGATCATAACAGTAGCAAAATTACTGTTATGACATACCAATGAAAATAAGTTTATGGTTTGGGGTCACCTGAGGACTCCTGCTCTAGCTGGAGTTAAAGACCCTGGGCCGTGAAGTACCGAAGTGTGTACTCAGGAATGAAATGACAACAAACCGAGTAGAGAGTGCCAAGGGTGTTAATTATTATGGATTGTCAGGGAGCAATGGAAAAAATGGTCCCTAGAATCTTCAACATTGATTTTTTTCAAATCTGAATTTAAAATTGTAGGGCCACTGAAGTGCATACAATTGAACCAAGGGAGGTGTGGTAAAAATGACAAATCAAGCTTGCATAATAATTCCTCCATTTGATAGGAGGAACCAAATACCCCCATATTGCTCTTCTAAAGTTTGCTGGAGGTGGGCCTACAGAAGGACAAATTGGAGCATCCTACATACCCCAAGTCATAGTTTTATAAGGTTCCTATCAGGTCCTGCAAACGAATTCAGCAAAAGAAATACTTTTGAAAATATCCTCATGCTTGTAATGTGGAAGGAGAAAATAAGGAAGGGAGGAGAAGCTAGGAACGGTTTTCTGCCTCCATGCCAGAGACAGATTTGCACGGAGTCGAGGATGAGTCACAGATGGTCGAGCTCCAATGCAGTATTCTCAATCTGCTCCAGAATTGTCCACACATATCACCCTGCCTACGACTCACAGAAGATCCCAAAGCGACATCACCTTGATCCCTGAGTTCCATTTTCCAACGGTTTCTGCAACAGAGTTAAGGTGAAAAACTATCAAATGCAATTCAAATATGTGCCAAACATATACTAACTACATTCGTAACGGAATGAATGAAAGATAATCTGTTAACGGAACAATTGAGTGGAAAGAAAATCAACAAACCAGTAGCCAGACTGGTAAAAGTATAACCAAGAGAGTGCGGTCCTAGGAAACACTGGAAGGAAATGTTTCAGGGGAGAAGTGACCGATTGTATCAAATGCTGTTGAGACTTGAGTGTGAAGAGAACCGGGAATTGAACAGTATATTTTGGTCTAAAGAGGGACAGAAAAATAATCATTAACCACAGAGGAAAGTGTTTCCAGGTTGCTCAATCTCTTTAAAGAAGGCATGTCTTTCTTCAATCTCTGTAAAGAAGGAATGATTTCTTTTTTTCCAGTTTGCTCAACCTCTGTAAAGAAGGAATTCACTCCCATATGTTTGAAAGAGGCAGAGCGTTATCAAGAACAGTATAATTGGTGATTCAGGGGCTAGACTTGAGGGAATTCCTTGAGCAGGTGAGAAGGGTTGGGATCTACTGCCCCACCGTAAAAGTTCGCTTGGGATACCAGCACAGGAAGCATGTGCCACGAGGGAGTACCAAGTATGGGGAAACTAACACAGATCATTTGATAGGTTTGATGGTAGAGGCGTGCACAATTTCTCTCCCAATGGCTTTAATTTTCTGTGAACCTCAGAGCAATTTCCTCAAGTGTGAGTGTTCATGGTTTCAGAAGGAAGAAGATGCAAAACCTTGGTTGAGAAACTAGCGTGTAAGGAAAAGACACCTGGGAACATGCAGCAGGAGCTTTGGACAGAAGGGACGGTCCCCTGGAGGACTTGGCTATGAATTAGAAAGGAAATCACACTGCATGGTTGTGTTTCTTTCTAGCTACAGTGAGCTCTTTGGGGTACAGGTAAGGAATAGGTGGAAAACTAAATAATGATGATTTGGGATTTGCCAGGAATGGTCCCCAAACACTGAAATCAACTCTACTGTTAGCAGCAAGCCACATTGGGTCCATCATACATAACTAGAAACTCTTGGGAATCCATTGGCACTAGATAAAATATTTTCCAAATGATTGACAGACTATTAAAAAGTCTGCCATGGCCTGCCTCAGAGTTAGCAAGTCAGATAGAATTAAGAAAAGATAGTCTAATGACCACTTGGAAGCCAGAGCCCCATTACTACTGGGGATTGGTGGAGGAAGGCCTATGCAAGGCTTCATGGTAATTCTGACTTTTGTCCTAGGACATGCTGATCCCGACCTCTATTTTATTTAAAATTTTTGATGCCTATTTAATAGGGCTTAGGAAATTCACATGTGAAGAATTTCCAGGAAAGGAGCCTTCACTTTGGGTGGCTGAATGGCATCGAATTGCAAGATTCAAAACCATATTTTGTAGATGCTCTGATTGCCTTTCCAGGTGTCCACAGAATGCTATCTCCTTCCCTATAACCTAAGCACAGGGACAGCAGATCTCTAGCGAATTCTAGGAGAACTCACATCAGAATTCTCTCCAGATTGGAACTTGGCAACCAGGGGAATCTTTCTCAGCCGTAGCCACAGGCGATGGGAACAATCCCAGTGAGGAAATTAAGGACATATGGCACCCCCCAGGTGAAGACCACTCTCCCATGGCAAGCTTGGGGCTACCTCCGGAATGGTGTCTGCTGCGGATGAGAACTACATGGCTTTGGAAAGCTTGTGATTAAATCAGTTAAACATTTGAAAACTATAGTGCACTTATCCTGGATTATCAGAAGTCAGTATAAAAGCAAAGGCTTTGGGATTATGAGGATCAGATTTCACCTCAGACACTCGAATTGTTGAATACTCCTAAAATGCCTAGTCTTGGAGCAATGGGAACATCGAGTTTGCTCTAAGGATTCGGTTCCTTGACTCTGGGGGAAACAAACTCACAAAAGAAACAAAACTGTCTGGGAATTGGGCAATTGGGGAGTGGAAGCACCTTAGAATTGATTTGGATCCTGATAACAACTGATGATTTCAAACACTTTATGTTCCGTGTTGCCACAGCAGAGAACAAGCTAATCTTGCTGTCCAGAACAGCCTATCCGAAAGTCAAAGAGCGTGGCCTCACAGTTCATGTGGGTTTGGACCTTGAAAGCCAGCAACCACTGATACACAAAAGATGAAGCCATCAGGGGTCAGAGAACATATAGAGTTTCTATTTAAATAAGTCCAAGGTCGATTTGCCCAGAACGACTGGGTTTTAGAATTTTAGGCTACTACATAAAATAGTCTAGTGAGTTGAGAAACAAAAACCTAGATCTTTACAACTGTGAAGTCAATTTGCCATTTGACAGAATCAATGGAACAATATTAGATGTATTGCAGACCCTGTTGCCTAAGCAACAGTGAATCCATCGCATCTTTGCTGCTGTATTCGAAGAATGCACCTAGGACTATGCTACTGACTTCAGCCCTGGGGTTTATGTTCTCATTTGTTTGTCTGTGTTTTCCTGCAGGAAACCCACATGCCCATGATGCCTGGGGTTGCCATGAGTTGGCAGTGACTGCCCTGCAGCTAACCACAGTGATCTGCCTACAAATGCATGCTTAGCAGCATCATAGCGAGCTGATGCATGGAGGCAAAGGCATCCCCAGTACTAGTGCAGCCCTCACTATGGCAACTAAGGCAGCACCTAAAGCATGGCGTCTTACAATTAATACTTGGCTCAGCCCGTCTCGCCACTGCACTGTGAGCAAACAGCCCCAGCAAACCCACAGCCTCGATTTCAGCTTCACCAGAATGGACGAGAACCACTGCAGACGGAAAAGCATTTTTCTCCAAGCAACAGAGCAGCTGTTGATTGAATTCTTATCTCTGAACATCCAGTCAGTTGAAATTTTATGTCAAAACACAAATGGTCATTGACGCCAATCAGCAACATGGAGCTTTTCGACCTCAAAGCCACTTTCCCTGGTGTGAATTCATCTCCTGCCTCTCAGCAGAACTTCAAATGTTTTCCAATGTGCACTATTCAATGCCCCTCATAAACACCGAGCAAACCCCACAAAGATTTCATTTTGAAGTGGAGCTAATGTGAGTCTTCAAAACCGTCTTCAGGAAAGTGTGACCAGTTTGTAGAATGAGATGACAGCCCTGCACATAATTACAAGTCCAGTTCGGCACTTACAAACTGTGGCAGGTGCTAATGGTATCAGCTGCGTCCCCGAACCACTCCAGCTGTAATGTTCTTATCCTGAGCTGCAAATGAAAAAAAAAAAATCAGATGATAGAAAACTTTCTGGAATTCACTGCTTTCTCATCTAATCTGCATGAAGCATTTCTGTCCATGCGTGTCTGTCTGAACAGCTTAGAGGCAACAATTTTGGACAGGGAATCTGATCTGGGTGCTAGTCTGAGCTTTTTGTTTCACCCCTGCAATGTAAGCCAGCCACAAGCCTATCTCTTTTTCTTTGGGTTGCTATTTTAATGCAGTTTAATGCAAGCAGCACGCACCACACACCAATACCAGTGACCCCTGGTTCATGGAGAAACAGCCTCCTCTCCTTGCAGTCAACCTGCCCCCGTGTTAACCCTGCTCACCCACCATCTAGAGCAGTGGTTCTCAACCTTCCTAATGCCACGGCCCTTTCCTACAGTTCCTCATGTACTGGTGAGCCCCTCACCATAAAATTATTTCTGTTGCTACTTCGTAACTGTAATTTTGCTAGTGTGATGAATCAGAGGTACCCTGTGAAAGGGTCATTCGACCCCCAATGGGGTCATGACTCACAGGTAGAGAACCACTGTTCTAGAATCTAGATGTGATCTCTCTTGAAGAATCCTGGCTCTCTATCTAGATGGTAATGCCTTCGCATTTCTGCTACTTGTCAAAGTAGAAGAGAAAAAATGAAAAATGAAACCTGCTACATATACTTCAGAAGAGCTGATTGGGGTATTTTGTGTCTTCTGACCTGTCTGTCACTCAAGGACTTTCCTCACACCAGGCTTCACTATGTCTTTGGGAATTAGAAAGGCTTGGTCTGTCCATAGGGAGTCCTTGAAAGCTTCCATCGGTGCCTCCCCTACCCCCTGGCGCTCAGTTTTCTCTCTGTAAAATGGGGTGGTGGATTCCCTGCCTCCTGCCTACAAATGAATTCTTCTTAGGTCATATGACTACATAAATAGTAATGTCATAGGAAGAAGCACATTATCTAAAATGTTCACAACGAAAATTCCACATATTTTGTTCACATGTCAAATATAGGATTTAGTTATTGAGTTAGTTAATTGTGCCAGCCTGGCCGATAATCACATGTGGGGCTAATTGAAAGGCGGAGGGATAAATGGGTGGTGAAGCCTCGCCTTTCTAGTTCTCGGGTCTCTTGTTTTGTGATGGTTGCGCCGGGTGCAGCTGCCTTAGCAGTTCCCTGCTTCAGCTTGCAAGATTGACTTCCTACAAGACATCCCCAAGGATACGCTACATGGACCTATCCCAATGCAGCCCTGGGTGCTAGAGCAGCCGTGTGGAGACCCCTGCTAGTGCTGAGATGCTTGTTCGTTCACTGACTCAGCTTTCCTCCTGCAATCGGCATCATTGCCTCTGTTTTGTGAGGTGGAAGACTTTGTGGACTGGTGTTGGGTAAATGGGTTAATGTTGGACTTGTGGGCTTGGGCAGCATTGGGTTGGGATGTTTACGTAATGCACATTTTCTTTACAAAAAACTCTCTTGTACATGAATTGCTGTGGATTTGTTTCTCCAAAGTACCTAGACTAATACAGTTATCATGCACTCTTTCTCTTCCAGTAAAGAGGTACATACTCAGAAAACCCACAGGGGCATTTCGACTCCATCCAATAGGGTCACTATGAATCAGAATTTACTTGAATGCAGTGGGTTTGGTTTGAATCATAATGCATAAAAAAGGAAACACCTTTTTCTACTTAGTTATGTCAGATGGATTAACTAAGCGGCTTTTATCTGTTGTGGAATCTATTGACTTCTTAGTTCTTTGAGAGACATTCAGAGAGGAAGAACTTTTTAGCCCTTCTCCCCAGGCAAGGAAACTACTTGGGGAAGAAGGACTGTAGTTATGTTTCTATATTTTGCTCCACTCCTCTAATCGCTTTTCTGATGAGCGATGGAAACTAGCTTTTGTTGGTCAGAGTCTGATGTATTTATTCCGACATTTTACCACTGGACAAGCAGTGGGTTTGGTTGGTTTGGACTACCAATATGCCAATGTGGAGAAGTTACAGGGAGGCAATGTTCAGCTCAACAAAAGAAGAGACATTTAAAACAAACAACATCATTCAAGAACTGTACAGACTGGGTCAGGGAGCAGGCAGCTTTGGGTCACTAGAGAGAGAGGCATTCAACTAATACTGGTTGATCACTTGCATGGAAAGTATAGCGGACACTCATAGTAGACATATGCATGGCTTTGATCATTTCCACAATGCTTTCTATCAAAAGCCTTGGGAGTAATGATGGCTAATCCAAAGGGCCATCATTTTAGAGACTTTTCTCTATTTAGGATTTGGTCTCTATACTTAAAACTGGTTTTCTAGGCCCAGGAACATTTAATCATTTCAGAGCTATTTCTGGTTACTGAATATTCATGTCACATGATTTTCTTGCCCCCAGATAAATAGCAAATAACTTGCACTGATGCTATCCTGATGAACCAGGAAATCCAATGATGTCAAGGGAAGAGAAGTTATGATAAAATTAGGCATATGGTATCAAACAACCATATCTATGAAACTTTCCAAAGGCACAATTTAGTCACTTAATAAAAATTTGTTTTTTCTTATATACAAATGATAGCAACAACCTGCTATTTAATGTTTTGTATTTTAATTTTCAATCAACACGAGCTACTAAATGCAACTCTTACCACAGAGTCTGGTATTTTGGATGTTATTTAAGAGAACTCACAGTGGCTTCCTCACAAACATTAGCAGAAAGAGAGCTTTCATTTTGTCACTAACGATTAATGCTATGAGAAAATGTAGACTACAAAAACCATTTAATGTTAGACAGTATGAATTAAATTTCAAAAATAGCTCTTAGGATGGCATTAAACTCGTTATGTCAACTCAATTGCTTGTAAACTGGTACCTTTAATTTTTCATGATGGAAATAATAGCATTGCATACCAGAGATGCTCAATAGAATTGAATCAGTAAGTCCTCCCTGATACTGCATTATTTGTGAGCGTATGTGCATGTGTGTGCGTGCGCAGGTAATGCTCTGTGAACTTGGGCCCAATTGAAACCTATTATGTTTGGACACAATGCTCAGTGTTTACTCTCATGGAGCTTCTACATTCTTTACACTCAAAATATATATATTTTCATTTGTTAATTATCTTTCCAATTTACTCTTGAGATGAAATTGCTTAAATGAAAGTGTTTACGCTTTTAAGTAACGTGAAATCCAAAGAAATTTGAATCTATCTTGCCTGGTAAAATAGTATAATTACATATAAGCTCAGCTGTCTAAATCTAAATTAAAGGTGAAAAATGGTGTAGCTATCTTGGAGAGCTATGCAAAGAAGACCTATATGTATTTTTAGTTTCTGCTATAACTGCTGAAAGGGGCCCACTAACGTTTACAGCTCACTAATGCCCCATGCAATCAAAGGGCCAGGGGATGAACTTTGGTGAGTCCACAGCAGCTGTCAGAGAATTCAGTTACAAGGGGTTAGCCATCCAGGACAACTCAGCAGAATGGAAATGAGTAACTGAGAAGGTTTATAGCTCAAGACTCAAAACTATTCCTTGATCAGCTGACTATTTCCTAGACACAGAGTATACATGGTATCCATACACAAGGAAACACTACTTAGACATTAAGAGAAATGAAGTCCTGATGCATGCCTCAACATGAATGAACTTGAATGCTGAGAAATATTAAAGCAAAACAGAACAAGCCCTCACTGCCATAAAGTCAAATACAACTCATAGTGACCCTATAGAACAGCACCTGTGGGTTTCTGAAACTATAATACACTACCACAAAGTTTCATCTTTCTCCCACAGAGTGGCTGGTTGGTTTGAACCACCTACATTGTAGTTAGCAGCCCAATGCATAACTCACTATGACAACGGAGCTCCTTGCTCACCAGTAGTGAAAGGACAAGTGTTTTACAGTCTCACTTATATGAAAAGAAACAAATAGACAGAAACTGCAGATTATTAACAGTTACCAGGGCTGAGATAGAGGGAGGAATGGAAAGTGGGGGAGCTTTTATTTGTAAAGTATTGATTTCAGGTTAATGGTGATGGAATATTTTGTTAAAGCAAAGCAAGAATGGTTTTACAACTGGAAGAATAAAATCAATATAATTGAATTATAATTTGGGACTTCAAAAACTTCCATGTTCTCTTAACTGAATTTTTCCATGACCTTTTGAAGCCCCCTCAAAAATGTACACATGGCTAAATTGGTGTGTATCTGGTGTGTATATTTCCACCACAATAAAAAAAAAGATTTGGGGAGTGGCAAAATGTGACAAGACAAAATGTACATTAATAAATATCTATCCCAGGCCACTGTAAAACTATCAGAGGTTCCTGTGGTGATATTATGAGAGAGCCTACCATACGTTCTCCTTCTCTAAACACTTCATTCTCTAAAAGCATGTCCCAGATGTGTATCTTACATTCTGTATGCTCCATGATGAGAGCAGCCAGGTCCTGAGATAAATGAATCTAGTTGGAGTTGGATATTTAGTGAGTCTTCTCAGGTAGATACCTGATAAAACATTTTACCCTGTGCATATATGCATGGGTCTTAGATCCTAGGTGACTAGATTCACACAATTTCACCATATGGGCAGTACCATGTAAACACAGTGTCCCCAAACATTAGAATCCTTTATACAGGTTGGTCATTGAACTGATTGAGACTTAACTGTTGATCCTTTCAGATTTCACCCCCACTAACATGATCACTTGGCCTTCCTCTGTGACTCTCCATTGGTATCTTTATTACTATTTCTCTGACCATCACCTTCAGTTTCTTCTTTACAGTTTTCTCTCTCTGGTTCTGAACTTTTGCCTTCCCTGGGGGAGCTTCATAGGTAATCTCTCCTGGACTGTTTCCAGGACACTGTATGTGTTGATTGTGACGGGGTTTGCTGCCATTGTGAGAGTGCAAACTGGGAAGAGCCTGAATTATTGACGAGAGAAATGAATCCAATTGTGGAATGTCTAGCACATTGAGGGGAAGCAGATAGCTTGGAAATGGAAT